AACAGGTGAGCATAGCTCCACCCATGGGGCTGTAGGAAGGCACACCCATGCAYAAAACAAAATGAAACAAAATGTCATTAACTTATAGCATAAAAATTAGAAAAGCACAAAACTCAATAGCATAAGTTAGAACATTCCAAGGCTATAACAGTAAGGTATTCAAGAATTTTGTCCCTAATAAAGAGTGTGAAACTAAACTATTAACAAAGGAATACATTTTTTAGTTGTAGATGGACACAATATTTTATTTTAGTTAGTTACTTTTTATGTGATGCTGAGGATGGAACCCAGAGCCTCACACATGCTAGGTGAGCGCTCTACTGCTGAGCCACAACCCCAGCCCTAGGAATACATATTTTTAAATGATGTAATTCTGATCTCAAAACCTAAAATGGGAATATAAAAGTTTAGTTGTTGATGCTATCACCTTGAAATACACTTTTATAATTGTAAGATGTTCTACATAAGCCTCATGGTAACTACAAGACAAATACCTACAGTTGATGCATAAAACAAAAAGAGAAAAAATTCAAAGCATTCCACTACAGAAAACTATCAGATCACAAGTAAAGATAGCAAGAGATGAAGAAAGAAACAAAGGATCTACATAATGCAGAAAACAATTATATACTGCCTACAAGATTCACCTCACTTTTAAGGACACATAAAGACTGAAATCAAAGGAATTAAAACTGGACAATAGGTCCCAGAACTCAGTTGCATAGAGGTAATAAGTTCTAGTGTTCGAACAACCCAGTAAGGTGATTATATTTCACAATATAACTTATTATATATTTTATGAAGAACTAGAAGAGAGGAGCTTGAAGCCTCCAGCGATAAAGAAATGAGGATGGAAATGTTCATTACCCTAATTTGATCAAGTCAAACTGTATACATATATTGAAATATCACACTGTACCCATAATGTGTATAATTATTAGATGTTGATAAAAATAATAATAAAATAATAAGGACCACATCTACCCTTTCCAATGTTAAGATAAGAAATAGTAAAATGGAAGATTGGGCTCAATATGAGGAAGAACTCCAAATTGTGTTCACCTTTCAATTCCTAGAATCTGAAGTCCAAAAGTTATAGTAAAGTTAGAACTGAAGCATTCAAACAGAGAATGACAAACTACATAATTGAAAAAATGTATCTAAAATTTTGATATGATGTTGGTTGGCCATGATGATCTTACAATTCCTTCTCATGCTGTGATTCTTTGAGTAAATGGTAATATCTAAATTGGAAGCATGTAAAGGCCAAACAACCTCTGCTTTGTAGTTGTGCCCCAAATTGCCTTGAGTTCCCTATATATGCATTTACTTTCCAATGAACAAACTGAACAAAGGAGTTAACCTTCTGGTATTGGGTGTTTCTTAATCCAAAGCATAAACCACAATGTTTTGGTCTAATGGACACAAATAAAATTAAATTCCAATTAAATCGGTGATTATTTACTCAAATTGACAAAAAAAAAATACTCCATGGGAAAAGATCACAGAATTGCAAATTTTAGTCCCAAGACAGTTACAATGGGTCCCAAATACCCAGAGCATTCAGGGACCTTTCTTATAGGACCTTTAGTCCTCCAAAGACATATATAGCTTGGCCTCCAGTGGCCAGAAAAAGAACTAAAACACCTTATTTTTCTATCTATTGTCCAAATACTATTGGATGGGAATGAATTAGGAAGATCTGGACCTTTTGCCAAATAGTAGTTGACACATTGCTAGAATTACCCYAGGTTTAGGCAAGAAATTCCTGGATGTGCTAAGGTGAGTTTGCTTGGATTCTCAGAAAGATATTTTAATGAATAATGTGAAGCAAATGAATTACAGATTTTGAGTAGATGAGATAAAGACAGACATTGTCATTTAGCTTAGAAAAACTAATTAAACACTCCTTTTAAATTGACCAGGCACTGTGCTGCACATTTGTAATTACAACTACCAGAGAGGCTGAGGCAG